GCGCGCTCCGGGCCTCGCGGCCAGTCGGCCACGGTGCCCCCGCCCCCTGGAGGAAGGGGAGGACGGGGAGGAAGGGGAGGAGGAGGAGGAGGAGGAGGAGGAGAGGAGGAGGAGGAGGATGAGGAGGAGGAGGAGGAGGAGGCCGACGCGGCGGCGACCGCAGCGCGGGCGCTCGCGGCCGAGCGCGGCCAGTGGCCCCCGGCAGGTCGGCCGACGTCGGGCGGCCCGCGCCTGCGGGGAGGCGCGCTCGCTCCGGAGGCCGAGCGGTCCAGGGCGGCGTCGGAGACCGCCGCCCCGGGGCCAGCACGGCACGAGCCTGCGGTAGCTTTTGAGAGGGGGGGTCGGAGAACAGCCAGGGCCACCTCCTCCTCCTCCTCCTCCTCCCTCCTCCTCCTCCCCTCCCCTCCTCCTCCTCCCCCTCCTCCTCCTCCTCCTCCTCCTCCTCCCCTCCTCCTCCTCCTCCTCCCTCCTCCTCCTCCTCCTCCTCCTCCTCCCCCCCTCCTCCTCTTCTTCGTCCTCCTCCTCCTCCTCCTCCACCTCCTCCTCCTCCTCCTCCTCCTCCTCCTCCTCCTCCTCCTCCTCCTCCTAGAGCACCTGAGCATCGCGACAAATCACGATCAGTTGCGCCTCGTGGAGGTGGCTTCGGGGAGCCCGGGGTCGTCCAGAACACCCGCATGGGGGCCGAGCTCATGGCCGGGAGGCCCCCCAGAGTTATGATCTTCCAACCTTTTTTTAGCCTTTCACCAGAACGAATTTCGAGCACCCAGAAAATAGTGAAATCTGAATGTATTCAATTGTCGGGTCCTAGGGGGCGATAACCGTTCGACACTGTTTCGATACACTGTTCTGGGTGCTCGAAATTCCCCAATCAGAGATTGCCTCTGTAGGGGTCCTTGCGGATCAATATGGTTAGGTGAGGTTTGGTGCCGATTTTGGCGGCACGCACAGGTGCCCGGGTATCGCCCTATAGCCTAATAGGTTTATAGCCTTATAGGCCTATTGCCCTATAGCCTTATAGCCCTGTGGCCCTATAGCCTTATAGACCTATAGCCCTAATAGCCCTACAGCCCTTGTAGCCCTATAGCCCGATGGCCCTATAGCCCTATAGCCCTATAACCCCAGAGCCTTATAGCCCTATAGCCCTATAGCCCTGTAGCTATGGCCCCATAGCCCTATAGCCCTAGAAAGATTATGTCTGTTCCCCGGTATCATTATTTGTTGGGATGTGGTCCGTGAGTACGGTAGGAGCAACGTGACCCCAGAGGACCCCCAGATCCATGGGCAGCACAGACACCACAACGGGGTGGCCTTGCCCCGTTTCGGACCCGGGGGCCTTCGCGGACCGATGCTGGAAGATGTGGTCCAGAGCTCCAGCCGCGCTGTGACAAGACGATGCGCTTGCCTCCACGATGGTGGTTACAGTGGGGGCCCATGCCAAGAAAAACCCTGCTTGCCTCCAGGGTGCTCTGGGTTTCTCGGGTTTCGATGGTTTTGCCGTGGAAGGCGTGGTGTTCCCACACCAGAAACCGATGGACGTCCTGGGGTCTCAGGGTGGGGTGTCTTGTGGAAGGTTTCTTGTGGTCGGGCCCCCACTGTATCAGAGAGAGGCTCGGGAGCCTCAGAGACCGAAAAAGCGGGCTGCCCTATGCCAGGGCTCGGGCTCAGCGGTGTCTTGGCAGCTTCTCGTGGGCCGTCTTCGCTTCGATGCCGCGATGATCAGGCAGCGGCAGAGGGAAGACGGCACAACGAAAGCGACACCGCAGGCGCAAAACGCCGTCTGGCTCGAGAGCCCTGCTCCCTGCCCTCCTGGCCGTCGCTGGCCTCTGCCCCCCCCCCCCTCCCGGGCGCCGCCCAGAGGGGCGCGCCACCGACCCCGGCGCTCCTCCTCCCGGGCAGCGGCAGGCTTGCTGGGCGCGGTGGCCACGCGCGAACCCTGCCCCCACCACCCACGACTTGTCCCTGTAGGGGGAGGTGGAGGAGGCTCCTCTCGTTCGGGAGGTCCCGAGCGTCAGGCGATCGCAAACGTGCACCAAGGGGGCGTGGATTCGCGACGGGTCCCGCTGCCATGGGACATGTCGCGGATGTCCGCCGCCGAGCGAGGCGGCACCGGCCGCATGTTGGGGAGGGCACCTCCCCCGATGCAGGGATTTGGCGACCGCGCGCCCAATCCATGAGCGGAGCGAACCCCCCCGCCCCCCTTAGACTTCGTGGAGGGCGGGGGCAGGGGGGGCAGGGGGACTTTAAACGGAGAAGGTTAAAGGCGAGGTATAAATCGAGCATGTACCGCTGCCGTGCCTGGCTCAAGCCGGGCCCGGCCAAATATATGACTGTGCCTCACCGAGGCGCACGACTGGTATCTGAGATCGGAAAATACCTTTTCCATTGAAGATGCCCCTTCTATCCTTTACTCCAGATCCCATGCTTCGTCTCGCTCTCTTGCTCATGCGATATGAGCCAAAGCCTGGGATATGGCAACGCTTGAAGCGTAACACATACCTAAGCTTACCAGCATGTTTTCGACTTGGTAGCGGAGCTGGCTACACTCTCGTGTGGCTGGCTCTCGCTCTGATTCCTGTAATCCACGGCACAACTTGGTGGACTACTACTACGGTGGAATACCATGTTGCGCCGGCTCTGCGAGGAGCGGAGCCAGTCCGCGATCGAGCTAGCGGGGCAACCCGCGAACTCGAGACGCTCTCTCCTACTTCACTGCGCTACTTCACTCTCGACTTCCACCAGATGCCAATCGGCAACTCGATCGAGAACGTGGTCACCCTGCGGGGCTACCCGCAGCGGGGCCACCTGCATCCCGTGCCAGTCAGGCGCCTCACGGCTACTACGCCAGAGCCTGACAAACCACAGCCTAAACCAATCACCGAAGCCGAAATGCACATGCACTGGATTAAGATAACTATCTTCGGCATTCTGTGGGTAATAATGGGATGTGCTGTGGGATACATGCGGCAGGGGATGGACGACACGCGTACTACCGGCCCTTCGTGGGACCCTGCCGGTACTACGCCTTTTCGCGAATACGTTCGCGAAGTACATGCATGGATAAACGTAACGAGCGGCAATATGACGCCACCTCAACAAGCTGCAGCACTACAACGAGGCCTTCAAGGTCTTGCTCGTCGTATCGCCATGCAGGTCCCCTCCCAGATCATCAACTATGGTGTAACTGTCAATGGACAGCCAACGGATGCAGTTACTTATATACTGTACCTATTGAGCACCAAATTTGAAAATCTGGAAGATGAGCGCCAGCTCAACTCTGGCACTGCCCTTATCGACTTTCGCGTCGAAAGGGGCGAGCGAATCGACTCAGTGTTAGCTCGATTCGAGATGGCCCGTGACGAGGCTAACTCTGTTGGCTTTGTCATCCCCAACTTTCAGATCCTAACGCTGATCCTTTTCAGAGCGTTAGGCGTTGGCGCGTCACGAGCCCAACACCTGCTGGAGCCCTTTAATCATCAGATGCCCAGAACACAAGCAGACTATGACAGGCTGCTGACCAGGATGAGGAACTACGGACATGTTGCCGAGCGCTCTCCTGGCAACATTGCGGGTATCTTCACAGGGCACCACTCACATGCAGGTGTCTACGCCACGACTGCGGGGTCACCCGCTGGTCCTGGCGAGCCAAGTCCCTGGGCTGACCCAGCCGATATGCCCAACGAGGCCACTGCCTTCTTAGGGCAGACCGGCCAGGCATCGGCAGAGGCAGCTGAGGCGAACGCCTGGTCGAACTACTCGCCAGGCGCCGCCTACACTGCAAGCCCGCCCTCGGGCACAACCCTCTGGGGCCAAGCGGAGTCATCCGCTCAAGGGTCTCAGCCACCCTCACCGTTTGAATCTGGCACTGACACAGATACCTCATCTGACGATGAGCACAATGGCATAGTCTCTGCTGGTAATGACTATCCAGCGGATGACACTCACCTTTCTGAACAACAAAGAGCGGAAGCCGCTTTTATGGCTTATCGCAAATCAAAACGCCGTTGGAGGCGCTTTATGAAGAAACCAGTCAGAAAAGTGAGACGTGCAGTACGCCGACATTTCAAACGATATGGAAAGGGTCGTGGCAAAGGGGGTCGCAGACGCCGTATGCATGGTAGGGGTATTACTGCTTTCCTCACGTCCTTAACTGATATAGTTTTTGAAGAAGTTCTTATCGGAGGCAAAGGTCGGGGTCACAGGCGGACCTCTGGTAAGGGAAAAGGGCGGAGGGGCAACCCTAGGGACGCTTCTGGCAATACTATGAAGTGTCACACATGCGGTAGTACAGAGCACTTGCGCGATCAATGCCCGAAAGGGAAAGGAAAGGGATCCGTACATTTGGCTCAAAACTCTTTTATGGATGACATATATTACATTGACTACGAGTTTTACGTCAATCCAGAAGCGGCTCCCGCCGCGGGCTCCTCCACGTATTACGTGATGGCCCGCTACGCTGAAGTGACCGTAGCCCTGGAAGACTACGCGGTGACCCTCTTCGACGAGTTCCACGGCTGGGACGAAGTCGACGAGGTCGCGTTCAATGCCTGGTTCGGTCTTCCAGCGGGGCCACCCGCCGACGACGAGATCTCCGATGCTGAGACCGTCCCGGCGACCGAGGAAGAGCTCGCCGCCGCGCTGGCACCGCAGGTGATTGGCATGCCGTTGCTGCCAGATCTTCCGCGAGCTGGCTCGGAAGCGGGAGACGCTGATGACGAAATGCGGGGCCATCCCGCGTATTCTGACTCTGAAGAGGCCGAAGAGGACTATAAGGACATGCTCCAAGAGCAGGTCGCAGAAGCAATCCGGCTCCTGAGTGCGCCAGCACATCAGCAGATAACCATGAACGACCTGCTGTCGCGCCCAGGGGCCGCAAGGCTGCGTCCATACCTGGATTCGGACATGTCGGCACCTCAGATGCTGACAGCACTCCAGGCTCTAGCGGGGTCACCCGCCGAAGTGACGCCAGCCGCAGCAGCGGGGCCACCCGCTTGGTCTATGGA